GATATCAGAGGCAATGGTTTACAACGGCTCTTGATAAAGCTTAATGAGGGCTGCTAACTCTATGGGCTGGACATGTCCTTGTTTCGCTTGGACCGTTCTTGCCCTGCTTATTCAACAATGAGAGGCTACAACATCACCCTCACTTCCACGTTCCAAATTCCAATAGGGACTTTGGGGATACAATAAAAAAAAATCTGACTCAGATTGGATTAAATGACAAATTCTACTTGGTTCAAGTCACTGTCGTATGCACAGACTCACCACATCATTAGGATTCAGCTTCAGCCTTTGGGTTCTTTGAGTTTTCTTTTCCCCCACATGTTATTTCGTGATAACAAAATGACCAGAAATATTTCAGGCATCTTAGTGGCATATTGCATCACGGAGATCTAAAGAGAGAACCTTTCGAGCATGTAAGCAACTCGAGTCACATACCTACCACTGAATCACTCATTGTGGCCACAAGCCTCAGCTGACTAATTTAGCTACTAACTACATGCTCCATCCCTCAAGCTGAAAACCACAGGCCTGTGGCAGTTGGTCACCCCCCAAAGAGACACATCTTATTTGGAAATACATGATTCACGGGAAAGTGTCTGTACCCTGGATCCTTCCCAGTTTTGCCAATGAGCCCCATGCCGAGATTTTCAGGGAGGTGGGAAGTAACCAGTGATATTGACAGGATCACTGAAAACTAAAATTCACTGTCATGGTGATAAGTATAGGAAGATACAAATCAAAGGCCCGCTTCTTCATTTCTTAGCAACTTATAAATCCCTCTTCTCTGGTGTAAACCTCAAAGAGGAAGGACCGTTCAGTAATGACTGAGGTGGAATTTCCCATAGCCCAGCATGCGGTCTGCAAGCTGCAGTTGACAGAGAAAATGCAATAGCATTTTTTTGTGATGCCATCAACAGAGATTGAAGCCACCATGTAGATTTTACTGTGTTTTTTGTGTTTTTGTTCATTATTAAAAATTGGGAGGGGGGCTGGAGAAATGGCTCAGAGGTTAAGAGCACTGACTGCTCTTCCATAGGACCTGGGTTCAATTGTCAGCACCAACATAATGGCTCACACACTATCTGTAATTCTAATTCCAGGAGATCTGACTTTACTCAGGCACCAGGCCCACATGTAGGGCACAGACATGCATGCAGGCAAAACACCCCCCTACATAAGAAAAAATAACTTTTAAAAATTTGACTTGTTGAGGGAACCACACTGAAAATAGCTTTCATGAGTAAGCATTAGCTATGGCTGGAAATCCACCTCAGCACACCCACTACTATCAATGTAAGATAAGTGAATCATCATTGACATTGTGTTCCTACTGTTCTACTTCAGCGTACAGCAAGTCTTCTAAGAGAGGGTCTCTTCTAAATGGAAAATCATTTAAAGCTTATTGTCCTTACGATCTTAAAAAAAAATTCCAGCTCAGACACAAATATCTGTAGTGGTTTCTGGAATCAACTCCCACAGCTGTTGAATTATACCATCCTTTCTCTGTCCCATCAATTAACATACTCACTCAAAAAGAATTGTAATCACTCAGGAGAGTGCCCTGACGCACATTCCTTTCCAGGGTGAAGTTAGGAGCTAGTCCTAAATTTCCAATGGCTTCCAGTTGCATCATTTCTTAGTGTCAACAAGTCTTGGAGACAGGACCAGAAATTTTAGGATAATTCTGAAATGAATTCTCTTCGAAGGATATTTCCAAGCTCAGCCAAACATCCAAGAACTTTAAAATATTGAGATATGGAAATATTTTTTCATGACACAAGGAAGTTAGAAAATTTTCTTGGTTATGTTGAGTTTGAAATAGTGCACATTTCCTAATTAATAAAGTGGATATTTTTATTTGAAAGATGGAATTGAACAATCCGGAGGCTCTAGTTTATTTATTTACTTGTAGTGTATATATGTTTTGCTTGTGTGTATGTGTGAAAAAGATACCTGTGTGGTGTATGTAAGTGTGTGTGTGTCTGTGCATGTATGCATAGAAACCAGAAGACATTTGGGGAGGGGTCCTCTTCTATCACTTTCTGCTTTATTCCTTTAAGGCATGGTCTCCCCAAATCTGGAGCTTGTGTGTATCAGCTAGACTGGCTTTCCACAAGCCCCAGTGGCCCTCTTGTTTCCACACTGCCTGCAGCCCTGGGGTTCCAGGCACACGTGAGACCATATCTAGCTTGTTGCACGGGAGCTGGGGTGCGAACTCAGGTCATCAGGGTTGTACATCAAAGGCTGTTCATCTCTGAGCCATCCCTCCAGCCCCTGGTTTGTTCAGTGAACACCTAATTGCAATATCATTTGAAGAGCTGTAACCTATTCTGAGCATGTAAATATCCAGTGGTGCTTTATGGAAGGCATCAGGAAATTATAAGCAGAAGAAAAACAGATTACAGGCTATTATATGTTTAATGGTATGCAAATGCTGTTAAATTAGAACATGATGACATTACTGTTCTTTGAGGGGGAGAATGGGTTTAGACAATTCAAAACTAACAGATGTCAATTTGTGTGCGCTGTGATCTAACAATAATGAGTTAAAAATTAAAAACTGCACATACATGGAATTGCGTTTTGAGTTCTGCACAGTAATTTCATAATAACAGGTTCACATGCAAACTGCCTGCAGTTGAAGTCACACACACACACACACACACACACACACACACACACACACACACAGAGAGAGAGAGAGAGAGGGGGGGGCGTATCTGTTCCTAGATCTTAAATTTATTTACTTTATTTGTATGAGTGGTATTTTTTCTGCATGTATGCATATGTACCATATGTGTGCCTGGTGCCCTTGGAGGTCATATGTGAGCATAGGATACTCTGGAACTTGAGTACAGATAGCTATGAGCTACTATGTAGGTATCTGGGAACAGAACCCAGGTCCTTCTCAAGAGTAACAAGTACTCTTAACCATTAAGCTAGCTCTCCAGCTCCTATACCTACAATCTTAGAGAGATTAAACAATTCTGACTATGTTCTTTACATGTAGAACTCCCTAGTTTTAACCAGCTCAGTAAAAACACTTCTGAAATGACATTTGTAGTGTAAAGCAAGTCAAAGTACCCACAATTCATAACACAACTTCTTAGAAAGCAGAGGAAGGAATATGGGCGTGTCCTGCCTTTTATTTTCTGGTCACAGAAGATGTTTGCTGTTTTCTTGGATAAGAAAATACATCATAGGTCAGGCTTGTTTGTGAGTGATAGAGAACACCGACCTGCAGAATTCCATGGTAGTACATGATTGACCCCTACTGGTCACCAACAGGATTACCACCACTCATCAACAAATGTACTAAGAATCAGACTTTTCAGAGAGAAGAAAAATCTTAACGGCCATATCATATCTACCTCACCCAATATCTGACCTGCTTTTTTGATTTCTAGGTATTTCTTAAGATAAGGTGCAATCATCTAATGTAATTAATACTACAAAGCTTATATATGTGCTCCATCTTTAATTTAAAAGGAGTACCCAAAACAATGAGATTACAGTGCTTAGATGTCTTTTTTTTAAAACTTAAAATGAATTGGGTTTTATTCTAGGAAGAAAGAATGCTTTGAAAATACAGCTGGCTTTCCTATGCATAAAACACTGATGCTTCCTCCCAGAGGTGTCTACCTAGGAGGTGTAAATAAACAATTTACATAGGACTACATTTTCCAGGAAATATACAGATGAAAAATTTTTAAAATAACCCCCTCATCTAGGGGACAGCGGAGGTGGGGAGAGCTGGGGGGAGTGGAGGGAGGGGAGGGGTAGTCAGGGTGTATTGTATTTGAGAAGAATAAATAAAAAGAGAATGTGGTAAATGGACATGTTACAAAATAAAATCTTGTGTCTTGAGGGGAAAAAAACCTCTGTGGCTGAAAACATCCTAATGTATACATTGCATATTTTAATTTTGTTTAATGTGTTGCATAGAAGATAAAGTATGGGGAGAAACCAGCAAACAAAAAATCCCTGACAGACACTTTCAGTGAGGAAAAAAAAAAAAAGAAGAAGAAGTAAGAGGGAAGGAGAATATTACAAATGTTTCCCTCAGCTGCTGATTGCTAAACAAGAAAATCAAATGAATTCAAATGGCATATTACTTTAGATGTTAAAAAAAATAACATGTGTTATGTTAGTTGGTATTAGACATTATACAAAAACGCATAAGCTCATGCTAAAAGGCTTACAGGGATTTTTTTTTTTCTATCTGTTTCCATGGGACTTTTTTTCTGTCTGTTTTCATGGGATTTTTTTTTGTCTGTTTTCATGGGATTTTTTTTTTCTGTCTGTTTTCATGGGATTTTTTTTTTCTGTCTGTCTTCATGAGATGGACCAAGCTTGTTGGTTATGTCTGCACGTTTGTCTTCCTGTCTCTGTTTCAGGGACTCTTTTGATTTCATAAAGGGTTCCTCATAGACAAGTCTATGGTCTCCTAGCACAAAGCTTTCTTGGGTCAGCAGCGCTACAGTAGCAACTGTTACCACAGCAACTGGGATGGGTTGAGCTAGGAGAGAACAGGGCCCTGAGCATGGATAAGAGAATGATGAGTGTGAGATTGGTTGAAAAGAAGCACCCAGAATGAGAGAGATGATAGAGAAAGATAAAAAGGTGCCCATGTGCTTTGTATCATGGGTTGTATTTTGAAATCAAACTCACCTAACTGAAAAATAAATAAATCAGCTTAACGAAGTCAACAGAGGTATCTGGCGAGTAGCGACTTACTTATCATTACTCTAAAGGATGGACACCCAACGTCCTTGGAAGACTTTTGTTAACTTATCCAGAGAGAAAAGGAATATGAATGCATCACTTTGGATTAAAAAAAATGCTATAGATGTTCTCAAGAAGATAACGTTTATAAGTTGTACAAAACAAGGAGTTAATTGCTATGTATTTTACAATTCCTTTCTTCCATAAAGATTTCCCAAATAAGACAGGGAAAGTGTGGTTAAAAAACAAACCAACAATAACAATAAAAACCCAAAACAAAACAAAGAAACCCCACCTGCAGGTAGTCTGTTCTCTGGTTTTCTAAAAAACGTACGTTTTGTTTTTTAAAAAAATCTCATTTTGAATAAGAAAAAAAAAACCAGAAGTCGCATATGCAAATAAATTAAAATGGCTATCTACCTGTGTGTTGACGCCTTCAGTACGTCTCCTCGGGGTGGGGAATGCCCAGGAACTGTCACTATTGAGAATTTTCCAAAGAACCAGAAAACATGAAGGACCTTGAATTGCCTGAATGCCAGTGTTTGACCATCTAGAGAATATAATAGCCATGTCCTGAGCCAGCTCCAACTGGTTCTCATGGCTATAATCTACTCTTAGGGTTCTATGAAGACACTTCTACTTCTTAGGTAGCTGTCCACAGTTCTGAGGAGAACAGGTGTAACTACCAGCTCACATCAGTGCCCCTTTCTCCTGCCTGCCTGGTAAAAACAGATGCCATCATGGAATACCGACATACCTGCTGGCAAAACACCCACACACCTAAGATTAAAATAAAGAAGCCTTAAGAGCAGGAGCTGCTGTTTCTGCATTTTGTAGAAAACAAGCTTTGGGGAAATCATGCAAATTTTCCAACAACTGGTCAGTGGAAGAATTTGCTTTCCAACCTAGGTGCTTTATCAAAAAGTACCAGGTCGCTACAGCTAGAAGTTCTTTGCCCTCCCAGAAAGACTTTCAGATTAATGGGGGAAATCTTAATGAGGAACTCTGGAAGTCTTTTTAAAGATCCGAGGGTTAACTTTCCGATGCTGATTGCCTTCAGTCATGTCTAGAGTGCTGTCTGTTCTAAATCATATGAGAAACCTCCTGACTTTACCGCCCCTGCTCACAGGTTGCTAGCAGGTTTTGACAGCCTGGCTCTAGGTAAATTAACTCTACAACCTGATAAATCAACATTTTAGTGTTAATTATCTTATGTTCTTGACAGTGGTTGTGTAAGTTTGTATTTGTTGTGTCTCTTCCAATAACTGACTAAAGAAAAATCCCAAGCAAGTATATATATATATATATATATATATAAAACAAATCAGTATAATTACTATCAGAATTATACTTCCAGAGGTATAAATTAGTGATAAACCTCTCATTCCCCCTTTTGACCTAACCTCAACAACTCTATTAATTTTTCATGCATAAAGAAAGAAATCATTTTTTAAAAGTATTTTTAAAATATCATAAAGGGACAAGTCAAGTCTGGAAATCAAGTCAGGATTCCAGGTTCAAGGTCTGGATCTTTGTGATCTTGAGGTCACTCAATCTACATATGAGTTTTTCATATGTGGCCAAAATGTTACTTCTGGACTTTTTACCTTTAAATGCATTTTTACAGGCCACCAATAACTTACCCAAAATTAACCAAGCAGCTCAAATGATTTTAGCTACTCTTCTTTTGAATACTGTATCTTTAGTCTTTAAGCATATATGTGTTTTGGAGTGCAGTCAGAATGTATTAACTCTATGAAAGCATTTTGAGCAGAAAAATGCAATGAACAGTGCCTGGGTATATGGCACAAAGGCAATGTAGCTTTCTACTGTGCACACACATCATCATGGAAGACCAGTGGAAAACTACTACCATATATGCACACATCCTGCAGTGAGCACAGGGGTCCTTGTGATTATCAAGCTTTTGTTTCATGATGCATAGCTCCAAAGTGGTGTCAGGACACTTTCTAGCTGGTCATTTCTGCAGGAGGAGGAAGAATATATAGGAAAGAGAAGAGCAAAGGGAAAAGTAGGGTAGGAAAAAAAAAAACCTTCAAAAATTCTTTGGTTAAAACAAATGCCTACACAGTGCCCAACTAACACTAGGCAGGGTAAATTCCACAATGACGATTTGAAAGGATATACTATATCAAGATTCTTTACATATTCTAAGTCAAAAGGAAAGCCTATGGGTGGGTGAAAGATTGCTTATAAATATCTATTTGTCTGGATGGAAACTTACATCATGTATTCAGTTATAAATGTAAAGACACCAAGACCAAAATACAAAGTCCGTTTTCTTTTACTTCATATGACTTGGTGACTAGGTTCCCCAATCGATGTAAACTTCATGAAGTTTCATGAGAACATTTCTTTCACAACCCCAGTACTTAGGGGGAAATCCCAGTACATGGAATGGCTTCAATATTGTTAATGAATGGATTAGAAATTGTATTTAGTAGTTGCATTTGTTAGAGACAAGTTTCTAGCGATGAGAGAACTGGTGGTCGACAGTCTGAAAATCCAAAGACAACAACCAAACCATAACCATCAGACATAATGGCCACTGATTTAAAGACTAACACTCTTACACTAGGGGTTATAGACAAAGAATTTCTACCAACAAGGATGACCCCAAGTCATTATAAAATAATACATCTTCATACCTTATTTAATGAAAATCAGTGTAGGAGTTGTACAATGTACCTTTAAAATATTTCCACTAGGGTAGGATAAAGTATTCACTCAGAATGCTTGGTTCTCCTATGCCAGATTTCCTTTGAAAAACATAATTTTTATTATATAATACCATGTAACTTAACCTGCCTCTATCTTCTACTCTATAATCTGTAATTCTATGGTATCTCTTGTGGACACAGAAAGTATGTCCCTCTTTTGTCCTTGTGATCTATTGTGTTTCCTAGTACACAATTTTAATATGTTCCACATATCAGCTCTCCCTGTCTCAGTCACAAAACAGTACAGAATTGGATCAGCGACACAGTTTAGACTCGTCAGTGCCACTGTGATTCTGTACACCGTAAAAGTCTGCTTTCCAGACTTGTCACTGAAGTTCATATTGCGCTCCAAGATGCAGCGGATGAGCACCATCACGTGGAAGGGGGTAAAGCATAGGACGAAAGTCAACGTGATGCTAGCCAGCAACTTTATGATCCTTCTCTTCTCTCTGTTTTCCGTGGCTTGGTTGTGCCGCACAGCTTTGTATACTTTATGGTTGCAGATCATGATGGTAATCAAAGGCACTGCGTAGCCCAGGCACGTCCTAAACAGGTTGAGGTTGATCTGCCAGTTCTCCAGAGGGTATTTGTCATAACACAGAGTGAAGTTAGACTTCTCCGAATCACAGTATTCAACACTTGTTTCATCTTCCCAGAGAAGCATAGAGTTAAAGAAGGACTCTAATATCCAGATAGACAGGCTGGTCATGAATGCAAATCTTCTCGTCCTTAGAAAAGAAAACTTCAGTGGGTAGACGACGGCTAAATAGCGGTCCAGGGCAATGCAGGTGAGGAAGGCCGTGCTGCTGTAAAAGTTCATGTACGTGAAGAAAACGCTGCCTTTGCACAAGGCGGGAGAAAAGGTCCAGTTGTCTTTATTCCAAGTGTAATTGATCCACAGGGGCAGAGTCAGTGCATACAGCAGATCTGACAGTGACAAACTGAAGAGGTAAATTCCTAGCTCGTTTTCTTTCTTTGCTTGCAGAAAGGATACACATAACGACCCAACATTGGCGGGGACGCTGACTATAAACACAAATATGTAGACCACTGGGAACAAGTAGTGATCTAGATCATGCTGTTCTTCGACACACGTGCTGTTCATCGTCATTTTTTTATAGTGGCAATTACATTACTTCTTGGGCTGTAAACATGAAAAGAAGCCTTGCCTTGTTTAAGTTTTCAATGTTAAAGTCTTTTATTTACTTATTTATTTGGCTAGGAGGTTTTTTTTGTTGTTGTTGTTGTTTGCTTCTTTTAGATTGTCCTTGTTTTTTGAAGTTCTAATCAACTCATTAATGCATTTAGAGAGTGGTTATAGATGAAGTTTTTACATGGACTCTCACCACTAGAAGTCAGAATCCAGGCCCCTGGAGGTGACTGAAAGCATTGAACTGAATTTGACCATCAGGAGTCTTCGTGCTCAATATCATGGGCTGTTTAGCTTTCTTGAAAGGTCACAGCCTCTCAGTTTGTCCTTTTGAATCTCACAGGAGATTGGAGTTTGGTGCAAATATGAGTACACAGGTTTTATTTTCATATACTTTGGCATTCTCTTAAAAGTGTCCTGTTTCTGTAATGAAAGATGAACTAAAATAGGTTAGATGTTTATAAGATATATAACATCATCACTAACATGATTTTGAAGCACCCATCTTTCATTAATTGAAGATATCAAATATTTTAAATGACAAAAATAGTATTTAATTAAAACAATGAACTTTAGTAAATAAAATCAAACTGAGACATCTTGCCTATTTCAAATAAGAATTGTTCAAAGGATGCTAGCTTATAGAGCTATATATATATTTCTCACAAGATAACGCCTAACAACCATAACCAAAGTTTGTTAAACCATTAAAGCCATTTTGGTGGCTAAAAATTGAAAAGTCAGCTATTTGGTTGTGATAAGAAATGTGCTACTTTATTTTATTGCTTTGAAGTGTACGTAAACTACATGGTCACATGATTTGTAAGTTTCAACTTAATATACAATATCAGTATAAGGCCCTTCAAAATCACATTATTAAGACAATATTTCTATAACAAATGATAAAGTGGAATTTAAAATATAGCTTATTGAGCTTTAATATATAGTTAGACAGCCTTCCCTCCCTCTTGTTTGTTTTTTGTTTTTTATGGGATGTAGCTCACTGTGTCTCACTTATATTCCATAACTGAGGAGACAGAACCACCTCCGTTCTGGGAAAACATTGTGATTATCAACTTCTACCCTCAGAGCTATCCAGCTGTGATATTTGTTCCTTTGTATAGTGATGATGTAGTAGAGAAGTGCTCCCAGTTCCTTCGCTGGTGGGAGCACATGGTAGATTGGATGGTTTACATGACAGTTTGCAGTAAGAATATTCCAGCCACTAGTGCCATTCTTTTGCCAAGTGTAGATGAGTTCTAGGCACAAAAGGATCTGCTACCACAAGGCACGATTCTGGTACTGGAATAAAGCACATCCAGGATGTGTCTCACTCTTAAAATGGAAAAGTAAAATTCCCAAGACCTTCTGGTTTTTATCACACCTAAAGATATGAATAAAACATGCAGAGCAGCCTGTTAAAGCAATAGCAAAATATTTGTGATGAAAAACCAAAAGCAGAGCTGAGGGGAAGAGGGTGAACAAGAAACTGTGGCTATGCTGGAGGTGGATGTGGGTGGAAGAGGCAACTGGAGCCTCTGGATCAGAGAAAGGAGGCAAAAATTCATACCATGAAGGCAGAAAGGGCTCCATTGCCATCACACACACTGAGACCTAAGAGGCTCTGGCTTCTGGGAGAGGACAAACCAGAAAAGAAAAGAGACTAACAGGTCCCAGAGACATTTGCAGACAACAGAGAAAAGCTGGCAGTTTCCTTCCTCTGGTTTGGTTTGTGTGTGAGGAGCTAAAGAAAACAATCTTCTTCTGGGTGTTCATAGTATATAGCAGATCCTCACTTGGAAAGGATCTGAGTCTGCACCGTTAGCCATGTGACCTACTTACATGGCTCAATTTCATTAGCCACTAGGGAAATACGGGTTGACATGAGACACCACTCAATGAGACACCACTAACACACTTCACCAGAATAACATGCAAGGCAGAAAATACCAAGTACCAGTGGTGATGTAGAGTACCTGAATTCATACATCCCCTGGGCTGGAAAACTTTAATATGTAACATGATTTGGCAATGTTGTTGCTAAATGAATACACACAGGTTCGCTAAGCAGCAGGCACTAAGATCATAATGTTTGCAGGAGCACTGTTTGCAATATACACTAACTAGAATGCCCATTAGCAGTAGACTAGATACCGCAAGTAATATATCATCATCCTCATCATCATCAACAACAACATCTATACAATAATGATGTTTCCATTTTGTCCTACATGAAATAATAAGGTGAGGCTTAATAACACGATGCTGGTGGACAAGAACAACACAATGGAGGACATGTCTGATTATCTGATAAAAGCCAGCCCAAGTTAACCTATGCTGGTAAGAGTCAGGACAGTGACTGCCTGTGGCAGGGTCAGGTAAAGCTCAAAGAGGATGGGAAAAGACTTCTGAGAATTTGATAGTATTCTGTTTCTTGATATGTGTACTGGTTGACTGAGCATTACTAGTTAGTAAAATTGTCAAGCTGTACACTTGATTTGAACATGTTTGGTTTGTAAAAATTGATTAAGCTGTATGCTTAGGACATATGCATCTGTCTGTATGAATATAATATTCTCAATAAAAGGTGTAACGGTGGAATCAAACTGCTGTGGTGACTGGGGATAAAAAGCATCTTGACAACGTTTTTCACATGGAAATGATCCACATAAGCCTTCCTGAGAAATTAATTGACTTCTTTTTTCTTACATGAAAATTGATAAAAATCAATAAAAAATAATTTAAACAGTCATGGAAAGATTCACAGGAGGTAAATGTTTACTAAACAAAAAGTAAGTTCTAGATGCCTAGAAGAAATTAACAAATACACATGTAACACAAAATGTGTATTTAATCAGTTTCAAGAAACAAAAGATGGAATCAGAACACACGATGAATGAAGAGAAAGAAAAATAGCAGCTGAGGATGATAGCTCACTCCATAGTTTCAGTATTTGGGAAGCTATGACTTGGGGGATGACTGTGAATTTACGAGCAGCTTGGGCTATAGAATGAAACCCTGACTCAAAAAGGGGGAAAGAAGAATGGAGGAGAGAGAGAATGTTAAAAATCGAATAGCCAGATTTTCTTTTAAAATTAGGATAGATTTTATTGAAATAAAAATGTAGCAGTGAAAATTACTTAGAAGAGAACAATAGTACATAAAACTAAAGAAATCAGACAAAAATGATCAGTGTAAAAGAAATGGGAAAACAGCAAAGATCCACGAGAGTAAACGGAAAAGATCAGTACAGATGTAACTCGAGATCCAGAAAGGGAGAAAAGGGAGATCAGTGAAAAGCGATGTTCACAACCGCTGATTGATTTCTAGAACTGACGAGGGGTACGAATCTCCCTGACCTGTGAAGCTTAGTAAGTGTCAGATGGAACAAAGTGGAACATCGATACTTAGACACACTGTGATCAAACCGAAGAGACCAAGTCTGAGGGGAGAAAAGAGTAAGAGAAGTGAGATGGCTTATGTACAAAAGTTACATTTCAGACTGACAGACGACTTATCAGCAGCAATCCCTAAAACCAGATGCCATATTCATGTTTCTATATTCCAAGAAAATGGATGCCATCCTATAATTATATCCCCAACAGAATTAAATTGCAAGAGCTGAAGCAAAACCTAGACATTTGCAGGTAACTACCACTTGGAAAATTTACTCCTCACTTCTTGAAGAACTCTTGAAAAGCTCTTGGTGAAGACAGAAAATGGTGCTCTATGATCTGAACCACATGAAGGACCGCAGAGCTTGCTAAGGACGGGCTCTTATGAATGTCAGCATCACACCCTTGGGTAGGCTTACATATCTGAGGGAAAACACCTAAACTATAAAAGTTTCCTCTCTTGAGACCACAACCAAGGATAGAAGGTGGAGCGGGGCGGGGGGGGGGGGGACACGCTCTTTTTTGTGTTACTAAATATATGTTTTTCTCTAAAAAAGCATAAGACAGAAACTTATTTTAGGGAGGTTTTAGAGTTCTCAACAGAATGAATTTCTTTAGCTATAAAAGTACTTCCTGCCTTGCTGAGAGCAACCACTAGCCGGGATGGCTTGATGAAGCAGATAGTATCTTGTCTGTTGAATAACAGAGGCAGCAGAAGCTTGTGGTTGCCTTTTTAAAGGTTCTGAAAGCTCAAAGAACTGTGGGTCTTCCAAGTTGGTTTCCTCCCACGTAAGTTAGTGCTCATGTCATTGGGTTGCCTTTGAGGCCAAGAACCTAGCACATGGAAAGCTTTCACCATCTGTTAATGTCAGCAATGTACTGCTCTCCCTCCTGCTGCAAGAACATCACCGGGTAGCCTAGGGACCTGGTGCGAACCATGCCAAGCATTGCAGACAGCACTTACTCATTCAATGGAAATGCGTCTACAAATCAACAGGGTAAACAAAACACATTCTTTCTCTATCTTTCCAAATATTATTTAGGCTGCTTTAATGAAATTTTGAGGAAACCATTTTTGCCACCCTCACTGAAAAGATGGATGATCGAATTTTAAACTTTGTGAAGTGTCTGCAAGGCAATCTACAGCACAGCTCTAAAAGCAATATAAATAACCTATGACAATAGCTAAAAGCACACTGTTCTCATACGGCACCACAGAGACACTTGCCTTCGCCTGTAAGCGGGCTTGCTACTAATGGGTCTCCACATGTCTCTGGCACTATGAGACATAATTAACAAGTAGTTACCACTGACGTTTATTGACACTGGAAACAATAAATTTCTAACCTCACATGATTTCTGATGAATCTAAAGCGAGTCCTAGAGCATTGTACTGGTGAGGAACTAGTAGCAGGCAGCGATACCATCCAGGCTGGCAGAGACTCTTCCTAAACCATCGATTTCGCAATATGCTGTGTCCCGAAGAGAAAGCTGAGCACACACACTCTCCTTTGCTATACCCATCTCTTCACCTGACTAGTTCTAAGTTTGAGTTCTGATATCCTCTTACCACCACTCAAAGTAGAGGAAACCGTGTGTCTTCCTCATCTCCACCTCGCTTACAAAACCTGATCTTACATTCACAAAACCCAAACCAGATGAAATGTTACAAACACTGCTGATCATTGTGCCAAAGTCCTCTCTCTGCTTTGAACTCTTGTTCTAATCTTGACTCTCATACTCACCCGTTTCGGGAGTGATGCTGCCCTCGACGGAGGAGGCTGGCAAATCTGCTTGTATCAAGAAGAGAAACCAGTAGTGTTGCGGGGACAGGAAATTGCCCTTGTATTTTGTCATAAACCAATGAGGAAGCAGCTGCTTAATGAGAAGGCTTACATTATCTGAGTTCAAACAAAAGGATCCCTTCAGTACTCTAAATGATGTTTGGATCATTTATTGTGGTGTAATTTTCTTAACTCATTTTTTTCTTTGTATCTTAATTATACATGTATAGTTACATGTGTGCCTTTTTCTTTTCCTGTATATGTGTGTGTGTGTGAGTGGTGTGCGCACACATGTGCACAGTGCAGGTGTGTCACCTGTGTCCATACTTTTGGAAGCCAGAGATGGGTGTCAAGTGTCCTGCTTTGTTTTTCTCTCTGCCCTGTTCCTTTGAGACAGGGTCTCTTGCTGACCCTGGAAGTAGATCAGTGGCTAGCAAGCTCCAGCAATCCTCCTGCCTCAGCTCGCCCCACTCTGTTGGTATTACAGGCATGCACATAGCTATTCGACACAGCACCGAGATCCCAACTCAGGTCCTCATGCTGTGCAGTAAGCACTCTCACCTACCGATTCAGATTCATCTTTACAGACTCTGATAGTTATGCTGTACTCAGTATGATAGGTGACAACTATTTAGTCCATTCATTTATTTGTCCTGCCAACACATCTATCCATTATATTCCTACTGTACAGTGACTGTGGGGGCATCTACACAGGCCCTGACTATTACCTAGAAAGGAGCATCCTACCATGAAAGAGAGGACCACACATTACAACATGGATGCAACAGAAGCATAGATAAGCACTTCTAGATAGGCTTGCATAAGGTAATGTGAGTCATTTGGATATGTGAGAATGGAGAGGATACTGTGGACCAATTTGGGGTGATTTGGTTCATGGGGAAAAAAAACCCAGAGGTAGCAGAGTGGTTGTGGTGAATACTGTGGCTTAATGGCAAAAATGGGTAGGGATATGAGTAGGTCAAGATAGCTACCTTTGTGAAATCCTTTTCCTTCCGGGGGACAAATAGGGTTAGATGTGTGGTATTTGATTATGGAAACATTTTCTCTTCTAGCAGCCCTCTGAGAATAGAAAACAGTGATTGCTAAAAGCAACTGATGTGATTGGCTAGGCAAATAGATACTCATGAAATTTGAAAATTTGTTTGTGAGTGATATAGATGATTTTTTTTAAAGGCTAATGCAGTACTTTAACAAGGTGAATCTGTAAGTGGTTTAATAGGAAATGAAATTAGTTTCTAGAACATCCTACATTGGAGAAAAGAAAAGTTAGACATAATTGTTAAGCTGTATCCCAATAAACTTCGATTAGAAACGGTGGCAAGAATATTATTTTTTAAGTATGAAATTAATGTAGAATGGAAAATTCTAACTTATTTTTAGGCTCTTGTCAGGATATGCCAAGTCTGTGTTGGTAGATGGAAAAATGTGATCTTGTGATACACCTGAGACTTTTCATCTTGAGTTACCTAGGGTATATCAGGAATGTGAAGGCTTTTGAAAGTTTCTTCGTATGTCTTTAAGAATCATAAAAATATGTCTGGCTTTAGTGGCATACTCCTTTAATCCCAGCACTCAGGAGTTAGAGGTAGGCGGATCTCTGAGTTTGAGGCCAGTCTTGTCTACAGAGCAAATTCCAGGACCTCCAGGGATGCATAGAGAAACCCTGTTTCAACAACCAACCAAATAAACAAACCATTAAAACAATTCATTTGTAAAGTACTCAAGAATTTGTAAATAACACGAATACTTCAGAATATATTGTCATTGAGATGATGAAAAATTTAGGAAAATATAAAAAGATAAATGACCAAAGTCTTCTGGGCCAGGGGTGGTAGTGCTCATTTGATGTGATGCTCCCCTTGCATCCGTGGTGATCTGAGTTGGATCCTCAGAACCAAAGTCAAAAAAGCCAAGTGTGGTGGTGCCTGATTATAATCTCAGTATTGGGAAGGCAGAAACAGGCAGTTCCAGGTTAGGAAAAGACTGCCTGAAATTTTAAAATTTTAAAAAAGAAGAAAAAAGAAAAGGTTGATGGTGCCTGAGAAGCAATTCCTGGGGTAACCCTCAGGCTGACACATGCGTGTGCACACGTGTACACACATATGAATCTGCACACATATGAGCACATATGCAGACATACAGAAAAATATTAAAATTTAACCAGACTGAAAATAATGATTTCTGTTTGCTCATGACTGCAATCCCTAAATCTCTTTTTCTGCTTGGTTTTGCACATTTGCTTAACTATTGTTTTCTATTTCATGATTCACACAATATCTAATTTTACCTAGATAGACCACACTTCTGTTTTTAGAGAAAGAGTATTTTCACATCCATGTCAAACCTATGTACTTTACTCTTAAAAAAAAAAAAAGAGGATGTAGTTAGAGAACACGAGAAATACAACTTTCACTTCTGCTTAAATAAGAAAAAAATGTCAGTGGACTATGTCAAAACCCTGCTTACTTCACACAAGAAGACATTCACCAACTTTCATGGTTTCTGCATCTTGTTTAGCTAAAAATATATTTTAATTATAGGGATACTTCGTGAATAGTTAGAAACTTCAGAGCCCTGAGACACCGAGGCATTTTAACAATATAAAGGCCAAATCAATGAACAGTTATTCAGAACACTGGATTTATGGAGTCAGAGTTCTTGGCCAATCAGTTTTCTTGTCTCCTGAAATCACAACGTGGGCACCCAACATTGGCCAGAGGCAGCGCACTCGGGCTTAAAATAGGAAACGAGGCAAAAAAATATGTGGACCTGCTGGGTGACAGCTTCTCCATGGGCCAGACAGTGTGGGTGATGATTCTGCTGATGAAGGCTCTTTTTGTTGGTTTGAAGCTGCATTCCTTGTCTGCTACAGTGTCTGAGATTACAAGCAGCAAGTAAGTAAGCAGGATCAAGTTCTGACATCCCACTCTGTATTCTCATTTTGATTTCTTTTTACACAATTAGTCATTTTGTGTTTGTTGCCTAAAGAGAAAGGATTCTCGGCAGAAAGTAATGGGGGGAAGGCTATGGATTGAGTTTCAAGAGGCAGCTGAAGAAAAGAATGGGGTTCTGGGTTGCTTGGGGGCGGGGGGAAGCCTGTTGAGATACAGTGAAGTTTTAACCAAATTCAGATGTGACATAGGCATAAAGTATAGGCTCTTAGAAAATTAAGTATGAAGAAAAGAATATAGGTTAAATGTTTATATTAATTGCATACTGTGATGGTAATATTCTGGATATCTAGGGTTAAATAAAATGCACCATTGAGGTTAATGTTCCATTTTAACATTAACATGGCTAATAGAAAAGTTTAAACGATGCCTGTGTTTGGTGTTCTCTCTCTGTTGGGCAGCACCGTGCTGGGTGTTGAAATAATCTCCCTCTTGAACTGCGTTGTGTTTTGAACATGAAATGCTTTGCAGAGCCTTATGTGTGCTTGTTCCTCCTGGGGGTGCTGTTTGGGGGAAGGTTGTGGAACCCCTAAAAGGTGGAGCCTTGCTGGAGGAAGTGAGCCAGTGAAATGGGTCTTGAATTTGTATAGCCTGGCCCCACTTTCTGTCCTCTGTCTGTTCCCTGGTTGTGGACACAATGCGACTAGTCACCCACATCACACCCTGATGCCATATTGTCCCTATTATGATGAATTATATCCTCTTAAACTCCAAGACAAACAAACCCTTCCTCCTCAAGTTGCTTCTTGACAGCGACAGAAAAATAAATAATTAAAAGAGGTCAGTAGCACATAAACTGTCATTTATTCACGTCTAGGAGCTAGGCAGATTCTTTAATTCCTCTCCTGGCAGGAGCAGGGGGAAAAATAGATATTGACAATTGAAAAGAGATTAAACATACCACAGACACAGCCTGGGCATGAAACTTCCTGGCCTCCCATCACTTGAGCAGACAGACGCATGCGGTAAACACCACCGACGAATGAACTACAGGGAGAGGAGGCAATTTGCAAAGTGGGAAAGTTTGTTTTAAGGAGCACATTAGCCAAGCGTTATATTCAGCCAGGGTTCTTTGCTGCAAACAACAGAAACTGTGGTCACGGGGCACAAAAAAGTGACCTGGAAAGCAGTCCAGGATATGGTCCATGAATGGTGCAGAGCCCTGAGGATGAGGCTTAGGAAATTGGTTAGAGACAAAGAGCAGAGAACTCCGTCACCCGACCTGGGCTTTCAGGTTAGGACGATACTGTTGACCCCATTGCACTGGGCCTTTGAGGCCCCCTTAGCTCGAATCTCTGTGGCACTAACTCCTCTGGGCTCTTGGGGTTCCGTGTGATTTCTCCTCTCTGCACCTGTCTGGCCATCTCTCCAAGGTCAAAGGACAGTTTGAAGGAACTGACAGAAGGAATCTGGTTACTGTGCTGGAAGCAGGAAGATGGAGACTATGGTTTCTTCATTCTTGAAGGAGGCATACTTCTGCCTCCCAACACTCTTACCATGGGGATTCAGTAGAGGTCTGGATGATTAGAGAACCAAAACTCAGAGCAAAAATAAGGGTTGATGAAATGCCTCAGTGGGTAAAAGGCACCCACCACCACCCTGGATGAACTGAGTTCAATCCCTGGGACCCATGTGGTCAGAGAGAACCTCTGACCTCCATGTGTGCACAGGGTCATGGGTGGTCAACCCCACAAATAAATAAACATCTAATAAAAGAAATAGAGAGAAAAGAGTAGCGCTCAGTTCCCATTCTGTGATAAATCCAGACCAATGCAATAACAGAAATCTATTTTCCCTGGATTTGCTGAAACACGAGAAAGGAGGAACACTCAAAAGTTGCACTGTTGTTGACTTTGTACATCATCTCTGTAGCATCTCGTGTGCCATGTGCTGATCACTAGTCTAAGTGCTGCATGAGTATTAACTTGACTGAATTTCCTTTCGCTACACTCTCATCATTATCTTATAGAGGGGGAAATTGAAGTCCAAAGAGGTTAAGTGCCTTATCCATCATGTCCACCTAGTGTGTGAGAGGAGAGAGACTTGAGGCCAAGCTGTCTGGAGATTAAGGGCCAATATTGTTGCCCCACTTAGTTATGTTTTTATATGCATGTATTCTTAAGAAAATGCCCAGGAAGCAACAGACAATGTATTCCACATGGTGGATTCTTTCCTCTGAAACATTTTCATTTTTATCTAATGCTCTGGGTTAATAGAACTCCATCATGTATTAAAAAATATGTGTATGCATGTTTTGCCTGCATGTATGTCTATGCACCACTTGCAAGCCCAGTGCCCACAGAGGCCAGAAGAGGTTGTCAAATGCTTTGGGACTGGAGTTACAGATAGTTGTGATCCACTACATGGGTACTGGGAATTGAAACTGGGTCCTCTGGGAGAGCAGCCAATGCTCTTAATCCTGAGCCATCTCTCTGGTTCCCATTATGTGTGTCATATATGCATAAAATTTATGTGTATTCATGTGTTTGTGTGAGTGCATGTACACACATGCATGTCATATACATTATATCATGTATTATATATATTTATGTAATGTGATGAATTAGTCTGTGTGAGTGTGTTGTGGCAGCATTTGTACACTGTGTGAAAATCTATTGCTGTGATTGGTGTAATAAAAAGCCGAATGGCCAATAGCTAGGCAGGAGGTATAGGTAGGACTTCAGGGCAGAGAGAGAACTCTGGAAAGAAGAAAGGGGGTGGGTCGCCAGCCAGATGCAGAGGAAGCAGCATGAGCAGTATGGAGAGATGAGGTAACAAGCCACTTGGGAGAATATAGATTAAAATAAATAGGTTAATTTAAGTTATAAGAGCTAGTGGGACAAGCCTAAGCTAAGGCCAAGTTTTCATAATTAATAATAAGTCTCTGTGTCATTATATGGGAGCTGGCTGGCGGGACAGAAAAAGACTCTTTAAATGAGTGCAAGCACACACATGTGTGTGAGTCTGCATGTTGGTAGAGAGAGCAGACAGACAAGGGTGTTGGAGGACTAGGCACAGGAGTTACAGGTGTCTGCAGATTCCAGACTTGTAAAGTACTAGAATCCAAACTCTAGTCCTTCTGGCTCTGTATATAGTGCTCTTAGCCCTGAGCCATCTCACAAGCCCACAATGACGCAATTTTTGAGAGAAGTTCATTTATAAGCTGCTGTCAGAGTTGCAATCAAGCAACTATATTCAGAGTTGAAAAATCAGACCTACAAGCAGATATTCCAAGATGTCTGTGAAGAGACAGGTCTTCAAATCCTTTCATACACTGGGGATACCTCTAAGGAATGTTTCCAACTCCTTTAGTGAATAACTCATCTTATCTCCTCATGGGACTAGTGACTTTTAAAAAAATTTCAAGTCAAGAAATATATACTGAATATGTATTTGTGTTGGACATTGCTTAGAAAGTGTGTGTGTGTGTGTGTGTGTGTGTGTGTGTGTGTGTGTGTGTGTGTACTGTGATACAACAGATACAATAGACTGTTATAAAACTAAACCAGCACATTTTCCTTAAGAGACAAGATTGCTCATCTTTCTCAGAAGATTATGATTTTTTTCTCTTATTTTAACATATAAAATGGAGAGGGTTACAGGGACATCAACAGTATACACAAAAATACTTCTAATTTAAAACAGTTTAACATGTGTTTTTGACATGTGTGGCCTTTGGCTTTAATCTCCTAGTCTTATCTCATTGATCCTGAATTGATACATGCAATAGAAACTAAGACCATGATTGCGATAACTTTGATTTCTCTTTATCTCACATAATAGTGGATTTTCTTTTCCAGTTTGTATACATGCCTTTTTTTTTTTTTTAAATAGAATGCTTTCTTGTTGGTTTCCTGAGTATAGATTAGAGATCTGAAACAGCAGCTGTTTTCTTTGATGTATGAACTGTGGTGCTTCCCGGATGGGGAGGAGCAGGGGTTAGGGGAGGCTCCCTTTTCTGCTAATGGTTTCTGTTTCCTATTCTGCATAGTTCACACAATCTGTGGCCTGTCTTCCAAGCAAGAGCTGGAATGGGGTATGCTTCAGGATGGCATATGTTGGATGCTGACCCTAACTTCCTGTTTTCATGTTTGTGATGTGAGTTCCAGGTTCAGTGAGAGACCCTGCCTCAAAAAAATAAGGTGGAAGAGTTGGGGATATGGCTCGGTAGGTAAGAGCACTTACTGCATGAGCATGAGGACCTCAGTTCATCCCTCAGCACCCACACAAAAAGCTGAGCATGGCAACAGGCACCTGTAATCCAGTGCTGTGAAGGGTGAGGGAGTCAGGTGGATCACCGGGGCTTGCTGATTCAGTATGGAGTCCTACCTCAAGGGAGTAAGGTGGAAAGTCACTGAGCAAGACACCTGAAGACCTACTCTGGCCTCTTTGAGGACACAGGTGCATATCCCCAAATGTGTTTATATAACACACACAAATACACATACGCACACACATACACACACACACACACACACACACACACACACACACACCTGCACAAACATGCATCTGCACACACATATACACCTAAGAGGAAGAATGAACAAAGCGATTGTCCAGAAAGAACCTAGAGATATCATAGGAGCTCATAAGGCTAGTGATGGGATTTTCAAGTGATTTGATTGTTACCCCTTCATATAATTTTCCATAATTGTGTTGTGTGGTGGTTAAACTTCATTATCAACTGGACTGAATCTAGACCCACCACAAAGCCCACCTCTGGGTGTGTTTATGGAGATGTTTCCAGAAAGGGGGAAGACTCATCCTGAATGTGGCTTGGCACTACAGAGGGTAGTGGGTCCCGGAGAGAACAAGGAAGCAAGCGAAGTGCCAGCATTCGCCTCTCTCAGCTTCCTGACTGCAAATGCAACATGACCAGGTGACCCCGGGTCCTGCTGGTGTGACTTCCCTGCCAAGACAAAGCCTTCCTCATGTCTCCTACCAGGTATTTTGTTACAGCAACGAGAAAAGTGCCCAAGAGAGCAGTCCCGAAAAAAGCTTCAGGCATGTGGTTAAGGGACAACAGAACTTATGACAAAGATAACCGTGCCGAGGCTCATGTTCATGTTCCCGTCTTCTCCTTGCCATTCTGGTGGGGGGAGGAGGAGGAGGGGCTGAGATGGGAACTCAAATGATCGTATGCTTCCCACTAAAGGGAATTTTTCTCTTTAGCTTTTCACACTCTAATTTTCTACAATATCAGGAGAATCAGGATTCCCAGGACGGCTCACCACTTTCCTAAGAATTTTCTGGGGTTATCTGCCCGGAATCAGTTTACTGACAGTGAAAGATAGCCTATCATAGGTTCAAGGAAGCATAAATGTACCTTTGCCAGCTTTGGGTCCTGCTTGGATCTAAGCATTAAACTGAGGTGAAGGACCAGGTGGACAGAGGTATACAAGTTCAAGTTACAGGTCACAGGGGCATACCCTAGGAAGGTGAAGACCTCCCTCCCCCATAAACAGGTTAATGACTTATATGCTGAATCAGACCAAAAGAGTAGTTAAGTTATAACATATGGTAATGCAGAGGGGTCAGCAGTCATGTCCACCCTTTTCATATTGTGACACTATGTTGTCATCTACAGACTTCACACTTGATACCTGCACAATTTTTAAATCATAAGAAGTCTCATCATGTTTTGAGTTAAGTTTATGCATAATTTTGTGGCGGGCTGCTTTCATGGCTAACATCTGCTCCATGTGGTCTGCAGGCACAGGTTGGGATGTACCTGGTAGGGTATTTAACTGGCTGGAGAGCTGAGTAGGAAGGTAAGGGTTACTGGAACAAGAGTTGGCAAACAGTGCTACTTCCTGATATTTTAGTCAGGGCATCTTTCATAAATGGCTTTCATATTCCTTTAAGAAACAGAATAAAGGTCAGAGTACCCCGGACCTATTGTATTTTTTTTTTTAGGTCTTTTAATTCAAAATAGTCAATATGTTATAGCAACGTTTTTTGGGGGGCAGTAATCATATTCTAAACTCTTTTAAGGCTAAAAGCCCTGGATATAGCAGAGAGTGCTTCGTTGAACGGAAAACATTGTCAGCTAGCATTTGCTAAGTATTCCCGGGTTCCTATTATTTTACTTTTAACTCATGTAATACCGAGTTCCCTGACTTGCCGTTCGTATTGGTTTTGAAAAGTTTCAGGGTCCCAAAGCCAAGCGACTAAACCAAGATGATCGCTTAACTGGGGGGCTGAGTTTGGTTGGGGCTTCAAGCCAGGTCCTCTTCTTTGCTGTTTGCTGCTGAGATTGAGCTCCTGGGGCAGGGCCACTCACAGCCCTCTTCCCACTCACTACCATGATCCATCAGGTGAGGTAGAAAGGGTGGTCACTAAGTCATTACACGCACAGACCCGGCACCACCTCATTGACACAGGAGTGACCAGGCAAAGCTCGCTCCACACGACTGCGGCTGCGCCGACAGCCTGCCGCCCTTACTTAAGATGGCCAAAGCCGCCTCAGCCACCCCGTGTTCTTCATCATGGAGGCCCTCGGGCCCGCCTCCCGGGGCGCCGCAGTCACGTGGCCCGCACAAAGGCTGACAGGTCACTTAAGGCTTCCCGGCAACGCCAGGCTAAAGTCATGACCGCCGCCGCCGCCGCGGGCTCGGCCGGCCGTGTCGCCGTGCCCTTGCTGTTGTGCGCCCTGCTAGCGCCCGGCGGCGCCTACGTGCTCGACGACTCCGACGGGCTGGGCCGGGAGTTCGACGGCATCGGCGCAGTCAGCGGCGGCGGGGTGAGCGCGGGCCGCCGGAGAGGCAAAGATGCTCGGGAGCGCGCGCGCGCGGAGTGGGGGGGAAAACGGGGTATGAGGGGGAGGGGACGGGGAGCGGGGGGAGGCGCCCCTTCCCACAAGCCCCCGCGCCGTTGCCTAGCGAACGGACGCCGCTTCCTCCACGCCCCTTGGAGAGGAAGCCGGGGAAGCGCTTAGGGGTCTGCGGGGAAGGGGCCAGGGGCTCGCCCTTCATCGCCCGCCTGCCCGGGCTGTCCTTGCTGCGCTCGACCAGGGTCGCCTCCGAAAAAGCCAGAGAGGGAACGCGAAGCCCCAGGCGGGATGCTCTGGGGGTGGGGTGGGGGGGTTCTCTTCCTTCCCGAGGCGCTAGTTAGTGGGGGCCGCAGCGCATGGGGACCCTTCTGGAGCAGCGACTCCCCCCTGTGACTGCTGCCTCCTGGGCGCTTTGGGGTGGTGTAAGGTCTGACGCTGTCTGGGATATTGTTTTTAAGGAGGGCCAGCTCCATCCCCCTCTCAGAAACTGCCCAGAGGCTGTGCAGTGTGTGCAGGGATGGGGAACGCTGGCTCTGTGGGACGCATGCCTAAGAATCATCAGGTGTGCTGGTTAGAACTTAGGTTCTGCCTTCCGCTCCCAGTCTGACTTTGTAATAAACACCAGTTATTTCTCAAAAGAAGAGGTCTTGAGCAAGATTTCCTTTTGATTCCAAGATCTCGGGAGTGGGAAGTGGTTTTCTTTTAAAACTGAAGCTTTAGAGTCACTTTAGATCTACAGAAGAGTTACGAATACAGTATAATGTTCTATATATCCCAACATTGTGTGTGTGTGTGTGTGTGTGTGTGTGTGTGTACACTAATGGACCAAGCTCTTTATTCTCAGTACTGTTTCTTTTTGTTCTTGTTTTTTGATTTAAATGTAAAATAACAAATATTTCATATAAAGCTCCAGTCTCTCCCTTTGATATCTTTGTGATACTAGATATAATTGCACAGGCTTTAGGAAAAAAAAATCAAAATCTCTAGTTTTACTTATTTAGCTCAATTTAAAACTAAGGATTTTATAATCTGGTGTAATGGAGTAAGCCTTTGATCCCAGCACTCAGGAGGCAGAGGCAGAGGCAGAGGGATCTCTGTGAGTTTGAGGCCAAACTGGTGTACATAGCCAGTTCCCAGGCCAGCCAAGTGCTACATAATGAAACTCTGTCCTTACAAACAATCACTTAATAACCTAGAACAGGAAATTCATTTTTAAAAATTTATTTCAATTGTGTGTGTGTGTCTCGTGAGAGCATGTGAATGCAGAAGGCCAGAAGTAGTAGGTCACTCTGAGTTGCCATCTCTCCAGCCCCCAGAGCAGGTAATTCTTATCTATAGAATATTCAATTATTAATGTCTCTATACTGTGTTACTCAATTAGGAGACCAATCAGTAATGAGTGAAGATGGCTGAACATTTTATTTGCATGCCAGTTTAAACTGTTTTTTTTTCTTTTGTGTGTGTGTGTGTGTGTGTGTGTGTACAACTCTTGCTACCTAGCACAGTTTGTAGCAGCATTTAACTTGCTCTCATTTCACCCTCACATTTTTAGGGAAAGCATTTTGGTGCAGTAGTTGAAATGTGGGCTTGACAGGTTGTTGGAGTCATACTGGAATGGACGTTCACCTCATGGTTATTTCATTTACCTTTGCTTCAGTTTCTTTTCTGAGGGAACAAAGATAACTGCCTGGCAGTAGCATTGTGAGGACAAGTGTGATTAGCCAATTGGGATTTTTGTAGTAGTTTAGGGATTAGGGAGGAGGAAGTTGTTTTAAGGTCTTGTGATGAGCAGGTGTACCCGAGGCTACTTCCTGGTATTACAGATAGCTTCACACCTGGCTTAGCACCTTGGTCAGTGATTTGAAAATTCACCGTTTAATGACGTGTTTCAACACTTAGGGCTGTTGCCTTTGCCTAATACTTACACTGAGTGTGAGTGTAGCATTGTTTTTCTAAACCCGGTCCTTTCTGCGTTGAGGGGATGTGCACAGGCAGCAAAAGGGCCCCCAGGCAACAAACTGTGCGTTTCTAATTGTGTAATGCAAAATAGGAAGAATTACTTCTGACAGTCATGTGTAATGACAGTCTATGTTGTCGTGCAGACTCTTCATTTAATGAATGTGTTTTTTGACCTATGAGCCTCTGCTAGGCTGTAAGGTTTGTTTTAGAACAATGTATTTTTTTTAAAGTGTGTGTGTGTGTGTGTGTGTGTGTGTGTGTGTGTGTGTGTGTGTAGCCCGCCATTTGTCTGGGGCTCACTGTATGCTTGGGCTCTTGCTGTGCTTTTAATGGGCATCTTCATGTTACGACACTCTAATGAGCACCCTACTTTAGTACTTGCTCATGGTCTCATGACTTGTGAGAAAATCAGGACGCATGCTGCGCTTAGTTCTGAGCCTCCTACGTATGTTCCTTGTACCTGTGCAACAAAACCATAGAAGATACTAAATAACTGCCTTTTGAATAACAAGGAATAAGGACAAGAACTTAAGGAAGACAGCTTATCAGGGAACTTAAAGGTGAGAACAGTACCAGTGATTGGGATGTAGGATTACAAGCGTTATAATAGAGACATGGATCTGGTACCAATGTTGCCCACAGAAGCACTTGGATCAATGGGGAGTGGCCGAAGGCAGCTTTCCCTGGAGAAGTGGGCTTTGAGATGATGGCTAAATACTGAATTGGAGTTGATTAGAAGATGAAGATGTGGTACACAGTCCAGGCAGGCAGGAAACGAAAGACAGTTTGATGTGTCTGGATTAAAAATGTGAGAGTGATAGGCAAACTGGCAGAACTGGATCCAAGTTATTAAAGGATTTTAGTATAAAGCTAAGCAATTGGAATTTTATTTTGAAAGCTAGTAGAGAACCGGAAACTTTAGCAGACTAATGACAGGATTACACTTGTTGGGAGAATCTTGAACTGGTAAGTAGTGTGGGGAGTAGAACACAGGGAGGGGAGTGGTAAGCCCCAAGCCATTTTCCTTATTCTAGTAGGAGGGCTAGGTTAAGCCAGTGGGGTTGGAGTAGGTGATGGATTTGAGAGCCCTGAGGACCTCTTGGTGACTGAGGATGAGTTTGTTGAAAGGGTGACCTCAGGCTTATGGCTTAGACAGATGTTGCTCTTTAGGAAGGTAGAGAATGTAGAAGGAACAGAGTTGGTAAGAGTGCTGTTTGGTTTGGTTCTGTTATGCTCCATGACATGGTTTGTGGCTCAGAGGGACAGGGTAGGAAGACTCTGAGTCTGAGTAAGTTGACCGACCAGGATGTCATATATGAGAGCACTTAGGGAGGCTTGAACCCTGTAAAAGCCCAAGTATCTCACCCTTGTCATATTCTTGGCAAATTGGCAGTTGAGTCTCAGTTTTATGTTGAAAAAACTACCCCTGTTTCCTTTGCTTATATCACCAGGCAAAGGCCTTTCCTTAGTTCTTGTATTCTTGAAGCAGAGAAATCAAGCAGACACACAATTTAAGCAAAAGATCATTCAGCAAAGCAAAGCAAACACTACAAGGAGATGCTGCGGTAGATTGTCCCAAAGGCAAGGGGGCAGGCAGTCCAGTGGGTTTTGTGTTAGGGATTTTAAAGAGTTTTTTATGACTATGAGATTGATGTTATATTCATAGGTAAGGTCCATTTTCTTTTCCTGAACCGTGGAGGACTAGATAGTCCCATAATCATCATGAAAAATATTTGAGTGTGTGTGTGTGTGTGTGTGTGTGTGTGTGTGTGTGTGTGTGTGTGTAGGAATGAGGAGGGGTCAAAACCATAATGAAAATGCTATAATGAAGTCACAGTCTTTTGGAAATGCAACCCTTTCATTAGTGTGTGCATGTGGCAGGCAGTTGGGAAAGTGTCCTGGTCCCCTAGTTTTCTTGGTTTGTTTTGTTCTCTCTCTCTCTCTTCTCTCTCTCTCTCTCTCTCTCTCTCTCTCTCTCTCTCTCTCTCTCTCTCTCCTCCCTCCCTCCCTCCCTCCCTCCCTCCCTCCCCCCTTCCAGGGTTTCTCCATGTAGCCCTGGCTGTCCTAGAACTCACTCTAGACAAGACTGGCCTCAAACTCACAAATGCACCTGCCTCTGTCTCCTGAGTGCTGGGATTAAAGGCATGCGCCACCACTGCCCGGCTGGTACCCTAGTTTTTAATAAGATAGAAAGACTCTAACTTCAGCTTCACCGATGCTTGTAATCACAAAGGGAGCATTTTGACCATCAGGAGACGCAGTTACCAAGACACAGGCTTCAGGTCCTTGCTTCTATCATGTCTTTACTGCTGCCTAACTGGAGACACAGCCATGAAGACACAGCTCTAGTTTTCCCTGGTTCCCTCATATCTAACGCCTTGCCTACTCATTGATATAACCTCCCAAAGTACAGGTTTTTGGTTCATTATTGGTTTTCTTTTTTTCAGGTTGTCATCTGCCAGGGTCTAGGTATGACTAAATTTAGTTAGTACCTCTACTTTCTACATATGTTTTTCCATTCTTTCTGTTACCGATCTTGTACGCACTTTTGTTCACATGGCCTTGCCTTGTGGACTGTTGTGTAATCGGTGGTAATGGTAGTGGATGGAATTTATAAAGATGAGGGGAGTACTGTTTCTTCTCAGCATTACTAAGATATTAATGGGTAAGATTGTCTGAGATTCGTCTCATTTATCCTTGCCTCCAGATATTTTTATTTTAGATCTCAGCAGCAGTTTTTCCTCCCTCTACCTCCCCTCTGCCCTGCCCCCATCCAGTCCTCCATTTCTGTTCAGTAAAGCTCAGGCCTCCCGTGGATTTCAACAAAACATGGCATATCAAGTCGCAGCAGAGCACTTCACCTCGTGTTAAGGCTGGACAGGGCAATCCAGTGTGAGGAATAGGGTCCCCAAAGCCCTAACCCCCAGATGTTGATAAGTGATTTAAGATAGAATATTTCAGTTTCAAGATAAATTTGAAATCATGTTTATATTAGCTATTTTTCTTGTTGCTATGACAAAATACCCCAAATGAATTCAAGGGAGCAAGGATTTATTTTGTCTCCCAGTTTGAAGGTTTGGTCCATCATGGTCAGGAAGGAGGATGAGGTAGCTCACATTGCATCTGCAGCTGGACAGCGAGAGATGATAGCCCATGCTCAGCTAGCTTGCTTCTCTTTGGACAGTTTGAGGCCCCAGACCCTGAGATGGTTCTACTCACTTGAGGGTGGGCCTTCCCACCTCAGTGAACTCCGTCTAGAAACTCCCTCACAGACATGCCCAGAAGTTGGTGATTCTGGATCCTGTCAAGTTGACAGTGTTAGCCATCACAATGTTTTAGTAACCTTTATAAACTTATTTCTCAGTTAACTTTTTTTCTTTATTAAGAAATTTTTTTATTCATTTTACATCCCAACCACAGATTCCCCTCTCTTCCCTCCTTCTGCTTCCCCCACAACCCACTCCCCATTCCCTCCTCCAAAAAGGTGAGGCCTCCCATGGGGAGTCAGCAAAACCTGGTACATTCAGTAGAGGCAGGTCCAAGCCCCTCTTCCTGCATCAAGGCTGTGCGAGATGTCCCACCATAGGCAATGGGCACCAAAAAGCCAGCTCATGCACCAGGGATAGATCCTGATCCTACTGCCAGGGGCCCCTTAAGCAGACCAGGCTACACAACTGTCTAGCTTATGCAGAGGCCCTAGTCCAGTCCCACAGAGGCTCCACAGGTGTTGGTCTAAATTTTATGAGTACCCACTAGTTTGGTTTGGTTGTCTCTGTAGGTTTCCCCATCATGATCTCAATGCCCCTTGCTGGTAGAATTCCTCTTCCCTCTCTTTGACTGGACTTCTGGAGCTTTGCCTGGTACTTGGCTGTGGATCTCTGCATCTGCTTCTATCAGTTACTGGATGAATCAGTCAGCTCTTATACCAGCATAAGAAAACCTGTTAGCTCATAGAAGAACAATAGGCTTGTGTACCAGTGATTGGGCACAGACCAAACAGCCCAGGGAAAGGACACAGGATAGCTTCGGGAGGGCTCTGGGTCAATACCATAGACGCCTCAAGTTTATTACTCACAACCTTTTTATACCCAAAGCAAAAAGACCTCCCCCTTTCAGGGACATCATGGTTCAAGGTGCAAAGTACAGACAAGTATAAACACCTCCTTTAGTACTCAAGACACCTGGTAACCATGCCTTTGGCCAAAACATCCTATTATGCAGCCTTGGGGAGTGGGGGGGGGCAACAAGCTCGGACTCTCTGATCTTGAGTCAAGATGGAATAAGGCTTCACTATGGAACCTCTGTGCTCCCTCACAAACACTACAGACAAGTATTGATGATTATATTTGTTTTATTCATATTTTTTGAAAACTTTTTTTTACTCCAGGCAACCTCTCGGCTTCTAGTAAATTACCCAGAGCCCTTTCGTTCCGAAATACTGGATTATCTCTTTAAGGTAAGGAAAAATAATTATCTACTGGGCCTGTGATGTTTTGAAAGTAGGTGGTGAATTTCGATCGTAGAATTTATCAGCTCTCTGCTAGCTTTTGTAAACAGTGGCAGATGATGTTTGGGATAAACTGCTTTTTGAGGCTTTGTTCTTCTCACCTGTATAGCCAAAGGGCCTCTATGGGTGATTGTTTTGAGGTTTTACATGCTGGAGCACAGTGATAATACTGTTATTTTTTTCCACAGCCAAACTTTGGTGCCTCTTTGCATAGTTTAAAAGTGGAAATAGGTGGTGATGGGCAAACAACAGGTAGGAGGATTTGGGAAATGGATTCCCCCAACATTTTAACCCATACGTAAACATAGGGACGTAAGGAGGGTCAACCCACTTGAGGCTGATTGGTCTTCAGCAGACTGTGCTTTACTTTTTCCTTTTATATTATCTGGTGTGTGTGCGTGTGCGTGTGCGTGTGTGTGTGTGCATGTTTGCCTGTGTGTGTGTGTCGATGTATGTTCATGGTTGTGAGCATGTGGAGGCTAGAGGTTGGCTTGAGGAAGTCAGTTCTTTCCTCCCACCATGGGGGCCTGGGAGTCTAACTGAGGTCGTCAGGCTGGATGACATGCACCTTTACCTGCTGAGCCATCTTGCTGATCTGGCTTTGCTTATTTTTATTTTTAAAAATTAATGTCAAATGTAAAATTTTCAAAATAACATTGTGACTCTAAATTGCTCATTTAGTTGAAGATTATTAGAGAAACAAACCTAGTTTTCTAAAAATCAATCATGCACATTTGGAATTTTATGGAAAAATTTAATTATGTATAGAATATTAAGATGTTCTAACTTTTAAAATGTATTGTAAAATACAACCTGTGTTTTAGAAACACATAGCTTTCTTTTTTAAACAAATATACATTAAGTAATTAAATGTTCAGCCATCATAGCCAAATTTTAAAGTACTTCTGTTCAATATTTAACTTAATAATTATAGGCCAGGCCCATTAATATTAACTTGAGGGTATCTTCTGTGTATTTGTCTTCTTGCTATCTATTTCAAAGTAAAAAAGATGTATTTTACTTTTATGTGTATGAGTGTTTTGTCTGTATGGATATATGTATAGCCATGTGCATGCCCGGTGCCTACAGAGGCCAGAAGAGGGTGTTGGATTCTCTGAGACTGGAGTTTCAGATGGTTGTAAGCCTTCATATGGGTGCTGGGAGCCAAACCCACGTTCTCTGGTGGGAGAGCAGCCTTTACTGCTGAGGCATCTCTCTAGCTAGCTGGGAGTAATTTTTTAACAGGCATGCTTGAATAGGTACTGTTGTTGGAGTTTTAGGACAAAAGCATTGGTTTCCGGTGTGACAAACTAAGTTTGACCACTTATCAGGGACAGGGCAGTGGTGACGGACAGGAAGAGAGCACTCTCACCATCCAGGCCACATGATCAGAAAACTGTCTAGTGACCCATGGCGGCTCGTTTTTGAGGGGCTGATAAGGACTTTGAGGCCTTATTGAAAAGGGGAACGAAGGCTTAAGTCTGTGGTTTGGCTAGCTAGAGTTTTGCATGCTTGGTGGGGCGGCTGACCTTGGGCAGCCTGTGGTCTGATGGTTCATTATCTGAAGGCTGGTTCTGCAGAGGTCCCGCGAAGTCACCCTCCCTTGGGAGGGCAGCTTGATTTCCCTTCTCACCTGCTGTGGGAGGCTCACTGTTGTTTGGGGAGGTAGTTTTAGTCTGTTGTGATGAAGATGTTGGTGAATCAGAACTGCTGTTCTTAGAATCCAAGATAACTGCTGGACAGCGTGACTTAGGAGAACTCAGAAGGGAAAAGTGAATGAGGTAAGATGACGTCAGGGAGGGAGAAAGTGAGAGTGAGGTAGGTCAGTTGCTGGGCCGTCCTTTAGTGTCTGTGTGGAATTCATGTGCAAAGATAAAAGGGTGAAAACCAGAGCTGGAGTGACGCTCTGGAAGAAAAGCCTTTCTCAGAAGACAGGGTGCTAGTGCTGATCTGGTGCATTTGCTGAAGCTAAATTAGAGATAAGGACACATATGTGCATTCTCAAGTTGACATGCAAGAAGAAATGGCCAAAAGCGTCATTCTTATAAGACTCCATTTAGCAATGACTGGTGTTTGTGATGCATGCGAGCATGTGAGGAGTTGGATGTCAGAGACCTACCTCTGGCCTGGATGTTTCCCCTGCTGACTGTGAGTGCTAGAATAGGACTTTGATATTGCTGTGGTATGCACGTATATTCACTTTTCCTAAGCTTAAGGTATCATGACATAGTAAATGGTGGAATATAAGAATTGGGGCTCAGGAGTATAGGGATTCATACACAAAGTTGAGATGATGTGGACTTAAGGTTGGACATGGGAGCTTGAAAACCTCAGAGAGATCAAAGCTCAGCAGAACTTAGTCCTGGGAATTATTAGTAATAAAACATGTTAGCATTTTTCTCAGTACTGTTTTTCACTTAACATTGTGAGTTTATTAAGAACCTTAAGTGTTTAAGATAATGAAAAATAGGAAGTGATATACTTTGCAGAGCCACCTTCTTAAGTAATTCTTATCTGCACAGCTTTTGAATCAGAACTAGAATAGAAGAATAGTACCCCTTTAAAAATTGTGTGTGTGTGTGTTGTGTATATGAGTGTGAATTTGAGTATGTGTGAGTGAGATGATATAGAGTATGTGTTTCGTGTATGAGTGTGTGAAACTGTGTGTGTGTGAGTATGTGAGACTGTATGAGTGTGTACATGAGAGAGAGAGAGAAAGAGAGAGAGAGAGAGAGAGAGAGAGAGAGAGAGAGAGAGAGAGAAGAGAGAGAGAACTTAAATGGCTCTGGAAGTACCACTCATGGTCATTTCCTGTGGCTCTCTCCCTATTCAGATGGCACCGAACCTTCCCACATGCACTATGAACTAGATGAGAATTATTTTCGAGGCTATGAGTGGTGGTTAATGAAGGAAGCCAAGAAGAGGAACCCGAACATTATACTCATGGGTAAGGTCGCAGTGCTTAGGGGTCTCTTTTCCTTTAACTTTTACATTTGAAATCATGCTTGTGAAGTCTCTTTTAAAGCTGGAAATGCTCATGTTTTGGTATCACCCTCTGTACTACCAGCTACGAAGCATATACCAGGATTGATCTTCATTGCCACTGTTTATTATGTTGTATCTTTATGCTTTATAATTTGTAATTTTTTTCTTTTTTATGTATATATTTGATTGATTGATTTTTTTGGGCCGGGTTTTCCTTTTTTGCCTTGGGTTGGCTTGGATTTTGTTTTTTGCCCCAACTGGCCTCTAGCTCATTCTTTTGTCTCTGAAGTGCTAGGATTACAGGCTACCTTCATTATGCCTGGCTTGTTATTTTTAAATCTTGGTGTTTTACTTAGGGTTTCATCTATTGCTGCCATGAAGCCCCATGACCTAAAAACAAGTTGGGGAAGAAAATTTTTTTTTTCCCCCGCTTACACTTCCAAATCACTGTTTATCATCTAAGGAAGTCAGGACAGGAACTCAAACAGGGCAGGAACCTGGAGGAAGGAGCTGACACAGAGGCCATGTGTGGAAAGAGCCATGGAGGGGTGCTGCTTACTGGCTCACTCAACAGGGCTTGCTCAGCCTGATTTCATCTAGAACCCAGGACCACCAGCCCAGGGATGGCCCCACCCACAATAGGCTGGGCCCTGCCCCATCAATCAGTAATGAAGAAAATGCCCGTATTGATTTTAGGTGTTAGTGGCGGACTGGATAGTTGCTCAGGATGGACTACATTCATTTCACAGTTTTATAGCAGCCTGAGCTACTTTAAACAGCCAGAGACTAGGGCTTTTATCATTTGAAGTGAATTTGCTGTTTTGAAGCAGACTTACATTCAGACTGAGTTAAATAGAATCGTGACCTATTTTAAATACCTTACTTCAGTTTACTAAAGATTAGTTTCCTTGATCATTAAAGGAAAGAATGTTATTTTCTAAATTAAAAGAACCAAATGAAGAGTGTGTTCTTCCAAATTGGCTTTTATGATGGATTCCAGAACTGTTTGGAACAGCAGAACCGTCTTTGAATTGAGTACATGCGCCCTGCTGTTCTGTGTTTAAGGTCAGCCCTCATTTAGGTACAGACATCCCAGTGAAGACTCCCATGGGGGACCTTCACTGTAGTTTGGATTTTGTTGTTTTTAAATGTTCTATTGTTTCAATGTTGTACTTTTTATGTAGTGAAACTAGCTTAGAAAAAAATTGTATCGTGTTGATTCTGATTTCTTTTTTTAGCAGTGAACTAGATTGGCAATATATTGAATTGGAAATGAGCTACTGAGTTTATTGGAAAGTACTGTAGTTGAAGTAGGGGTTAGAGGTAGTGCCTTTCTGTTCTCTTTCCTAACTTCACAGTCAGAGTTACTGGAAGAGTCTCCACCCACTCGGTGATGTTCCCTTCACACAGCAGCCGTTACCCCTTGAGTCATTCATTGACATTTCCATCTTTATTTAATGGCCAATTTAAGTTTGCTCATCTCGATTGTCTCACCTATTGATGATTTAACCCTAATTATTAAGAAGATGTCCTTGTGAGTGAGAACTTTACATTGCACTTACAGTAATCTGGAATAAGCCTTTCAGGACTTTTCAATTTGACCTCAGAGAACAGGAATGTAATATTGATCATACCCACAGGGAGTAGAGATGTTAAAACGTTGTGCGTTTCTTTCTGTTAGAAAATGCTGTGAGAGGCATTTGTTTTTATTTCATTTACTTGAAAGGACATTTGGAAGTATAGGACGTGGCCGTAGGGATCAGTAAAAAATCTTAGTTTTTATCGAGTAGAAAGACGGTGTATGTTCGTGTGTGGCAAAATCTCCCTCTCAGCCGGCTGTACACCGACCTCTGCCGAGTGCACTGGATTTCTCACTTGTTCTCAGTAGTGCCGGCACTGTCTCACGTATTCCGCTTTTGCCTACCCCCTGCAGGGTTGCCGTGGTCGTTCCCCGGATGGCTGGGCAAAGGTTTCAGTTGGCCTTACGTAAATCTTCAGCTGACTGCCTACTATATTGTAAGATGGATTTTGGGTGCCAAGCGTTATCATGACCTGGACATTGATTATATTGGGGTTAGTAACACATTGGAAATATGACTTGTTTTTGGATATGTATTTTAGAAATTTTAGAAAGTAATTTGATTCATATTTTGTCCCATTAAAAAGATGTACAACCATACTTTATGTATAGAAATACAGTTTATATATTGCATTGCACTATGCTTTGATATAGTTTTTAGTTTTTAATTATTATTTATGTTCATGGGTGTTTTGCTTGCTTGTATGTCTGTGTACCATGTACGTGCAGTGTCCTCATAGGCCAGAAGAGGACATCAGGTCCCCTGGAATTGGGAATTACAGGTGGTTGTGAGCCTTGTTGTGGTTGTTGGGAATTGAACCAAGGTCCTCTGGAAGAGCAGCCAGTGCTCTTAACTATTGAACCATCTCTCTAGCCCCTTGATATAATTTTAAGAAGAAAAAAGGGAAATATTTCAGGTTACAAAACTCAGAACACATAAAAAAAAAACTTTTCCTAAATGGATCAATGGGATAATGGGATTAATGTGTCAGGGACTAGTTTTGTTTAATTTCTAGTCAGTAGGGTTCAAAGGAAACCCGATTTTTATATCGGTGCCTCAAAAATGTTGGATTTTTTTTTAGGGAATGTATAAATGGTTCTTGTTATTTCAATAAACAGAAAGTTGAACTCACATAACCACCATAAGAAAATCAAACCAAATAAAACTATGTTGGAGTTGAAACTAAAACAGAAATCAAAAAACAAAACAAAACAACAAAACTTGGCTTTGTCTCTGTCTCCTAGTCTGTACCTAATGTGGCCTTTTGCCTGCACTCGGTCTTTCCTCCTCACATACTTGATTCTGTTGTGCTTTGTTGATTAACCCCTTTGAGTCATGAGACTGACTTGTTCTTTTGGTGTCTAATAGCACTGCAAGAGACCTGCAGGTGACCCCTTATTATTAATCTTTGCCAATCCAAATTATTCTTGCCTTTGAACAGTACTGAATATTTTCCTCTCTTTTAAGTTTTTTTTTCCACAGTAAAACTTTTTAATTGGAAAGTTTTTTTAATTTTATTTTTGAGATTATAATATTACTACATTTCTCTGTTTCCTTTCCTCCCACCTACCCCTCCCCACTCTCCTTCAAATCCATGGCCTCTTTTTTTTTTCTTTAATTGTTATTGCATACATATATGTGTATACATACATATATATTCCTAAATATAACCTGTTCAGACCACAAAATGTTACTCATACGTATCTCTTCAGTGCTGACCATTTGGCATTGGACAACCAACTGGTGTGCATTTCCTCTGGGGAACTTAACCCCCCAGCCTGTAATTCTTTGTGTGCTGTTGAGGCCCCATAGGCTTTTCCCATACACTTTGCCGTGTCTCTTGGTATGGTTCTTGTTCAGCTCATATTGGAGCAGTCGTGTTGGTGAGACTTTATGGGAGTTGTTTCTGACATGAATTACTAGGAGGCACAACCTCACAGCAAACTCCCTGATCTCTGGTTCTAACAAACTTACTGCCCCCTCTACTGGAATGCTTTCTGAGCCTTAGGTGGGTGTGGGAGTGTTTTGTAAATCTGTCCGTTGGGGCTGGACTCCATAACTCTGTATTTTGATTGGCTATGGTTAGTAAGTTTTTTGTGCTAGCCCAATTCAAATTCTCCTTCAAAGCTTTTATCTAGTTCTTAAACAATAATATGGTTTCTTTATGCTTTAAAAGTTATTCTCATTCTGGTTAGTGTGCCCCAAGCATTACCTGAATGTTTTAATAAATAGCTAGTGCATAAATATTAAGTTGGCATTAGTAGGTCATAGGCAATATTAAGACACATAACCATTTACAGTATAACCATTTCAAACTGAAAACTGTTTTTCTCTCTCAGACCTTGAAAATATAGGTGGTGGGCAAGAGTTTGCAGGCTGAAGGAAATCTGCTTCCTTTTGTCCGAAACTGTTTTTAACATCTTTTAATGTGTTAAAAAGTATAAAACATACTGAGTTTGTGTGTTGGAGGCTGGCCACATTCCTAAAACTGTTGTTCCCTACAACACCTCACATGGCCATATTGGGTCTCTGTAAGCATTTGCATCTTAATACAGCACTGTCTAGAATTGATATGAAGTTCCCATGCACTCACAAGTTAAATGATTAGCCAGCGCTTCCCGAGTGCCTACTGTGTGGCAGAACTGTGGCTGTCATGGTCCAGCAACATCAAGATTAAGGATCTCTTGTCAGTGAGAGACAGATGCTGCTGCTGATTCACAGTCCTCCTGTAGGATGATTTAGGCATGAGGAACCATGGCCATAGGAAGGGGGAGT